TAGTCTCATATTATCACAGAGATCTTAGTATGTAAAAAGAGAAACATTAAGCTTCAATCTCTGACATATTCCTGGATGAACCTCAGTAATCCACAAAAAGGCTCTCAATCTGTTATTGATTTCAGTTAAGAGAAATAAGAATGCATAAAGAGAGAATTAAAAATAAACAGGATCCTCCAGAGGAAATTAGCTTTAATTCAGTTGATTTTTCCCCAAAGGCAGAGCAGACTGCAGTTTCAAATAGGCTGGAGGCTGACTGCTCGGAAAGCACCTCAGCAGAAAAGAAACGGGAAACCTGATGGACTACAAGTTGAACATGAGGCAGAAATGCATTCCTGAGGCCCTCGGCCAACAGCATCCTGGGCTGCATCAGGAAAAGCACTGCCAGCAGGTCAAGGGAGGTGATTATTTCCCTCTACCAGGCACTGGTGCAACCACATTTAGAGTACTGTGTCCACTTTTGGGCTCCCCAGTACAAGAAAGATGTGGACATACTGGAGCAAGTCCAGCAAACAGCCACAATGATCAACGAATTGGAGCATACAAGGAGAGGCTGGGGAAGCTGGCCTTGTTTAGCTTCCAGAAGAGATAAGTCAGGAGTGATCTTTTCAACATGTATAAGCACCTGATGGGGATGGTGGGAGGAGGTAAAGATGACTGAGCCAGACTCCTCTCAGTGGTATACAGTGAAAGAACAAGAGGCAATGGGCAGAAAGTGAAGTACAGGACACTCCGCTTAAGCATAAGGGGGGGAAAAAAACCCCCAAACCCCAACCTTCTTTACTGGGAGGGTGACTGAACACTGGAACAAGTTGCCCGGAGGGGTTCGCAGAGGAATTATTTCCCCAACTGAACTTGGTTAATAATTCTACTGGAGTTTTATGCCTCGGAGCAACAACCTCACCCTTTCTGAAAGAACATTGTTTGTTGCCCTCAAAACTACGACGACAATCAGCTGCTCTGACTCAATCCTCACAGGAACAAATCTCCTGATCAATTAAGTAAAGTACATAGTGAAATCCCGACTATCAAAGTCACTGGGAGGTCTGCCACTAACTACTACGAGAGCCAGGATTTATCCATTTGTCTCTCTGATGAAAGCTCCAATTTAAATATTAAAAGTTGTATTTTAATTACAAAAGATGAGACAGGTCAATTACATATCCCGCTTTCATATATGGAAAATGTGCTATTACAATAATTTGGACATGGGTGCTTTAAAATCCCACCACTGTGGATATTTAGAAATATGCTCACTGATTAATCATTTTCAAGTTTATCTTAGAACATACTGCAAATCCTTCAAATGGCCTATCTTACTTATTTAAAACTAAGCTTTATGAAACTCGTAATTCAGGATTGCATTTATGCTGCATTAACACAAGTGTTTCCGAAATTCCTTGGATGAAAATCATGTTTAAAAAAGTTAATTTTGAAGTCCCAAATATAACCCTTTAGGTAAATGGGGAACATCTGGCTGGCGGCCAGCCACTAGTAGTGTTCCCCAGGGCTCAATTTTAGGGCCAGTTCTCTTCAATGTTTTTATCAATGACCTGGACACAGGAGTTGTGAGGAGGACTTGTTGATTCCCTTGAGGGTAGAGAGACCTTACAGAGAGATCTTGATAGATTGGGGTGCTTGGCAATCACTCACCGTATGCAATTTAACAAGAACAAATGCTGGATTCTGCACCTGGGACCATGTAATCCTGGATGCCTGTACAGATTGGGGGACAAGAGGCTGGAGTGCAGCCCTGCAGAAAAAGATGTGGGGGTTTTGGTTGATGATAAGCTCAATGTGAGTCAACAACGTGCTCCGGCAGCCAAAAGGGCCAACCGTATCCTGGGGTGCATTAGGCACAGTATAGCTAACCAGTCAAAAGAAGTGATTGTCCCACTATACTCAGCATTGGTGTGGCTTCACCTCGAGTACTGTGTGCAGTTTTGGGCTCCACAATATGAGAGGGATATAGAAATATTAGAATGTATCCAAAGGAGGGCAACAAAGATGGTGAAAGGACTAGAGGGCAAGACTTATGAGGAGCAGCTGAGGATACTTGGCTTGTTCAGCTTAGAAAAGAGGAGACTGAGGGATGACCTCATTGATATCTACAACTTCCTCATGAGGGGGAGCAGAGAGGGAGGTGCTGATCACTTCTTTCTGGTGTCCGGTAATAGGATGCGAGGGAATGGCTTAAAGCTGCATCAGGGGAAGTTCAGACTGGATATTAGGAAGAAGTTCTTCCCTGAGAGGGTGGTCAAGCACTGGAACAAGCTCCCCAGGGAGTGAGTGGTTCAAGAAGCATTTGGACAATGCTCTTAAATACATGGTTTAACTTCTAGGTTGCCCTGTGTGGAGTCAGGACTCGAAGATCCTCATGGGTCCCTTCCAGCTCAGGATATTCTATGATTCTGTGAAATCTTCCAAGGTACCAAAGGAAGATTTGAGCTAAAGTTAGTAAAAGACATTTAAATGCAGAATTCTAAGGAAAGTTATATTCATGGAATTAGAACTGGCTTAACTGCTCATTGTCACTAGATTTCAGAGAGCATATCATTACCTGTGTTGTAAGCCTGTGCTGTAGATGCTTTAAAGCTGATAGCCGACACTGTGTTCTTTTGACAAGCTCTCTTGGAAAAAGACTACCAGAGGCAATACAAACTGCGCAGCGCTTAGAGCTAACAGGATGCCAAAGTCCTATAAAGGAGAGAAAATACTGAGGAAGGCATTCTCTGTTGTTATTTTGTCATCAATATTACATTCCCAGCAAGTGTTTATAGTGGATATAAATGAACCACAGAACACAGGCCTTCTCATTGCAGATGGATTCAATGCTATGCAGAAACGGGCCTCGTGTTTCTTTCCTTTGCTTCCTTGCCAGAGCAATTGTTGCATGGAACTTAAATGTCCACAGTGAAATCTTCTTACTTTATATATACTCTTGATTCAAGTTTATTCTATAGTAAACTTATTCTGCTTTCTCTTCCACTTTCATAAAGCACTAGTTTTTATTCCAAGAGATAAACTACCTCTTTTCTGCTCTTCAAAGAAGTCTTAGGTCAACTTCCAGTTTGCACACTGACATCTAAGCACTAGGGAGCCCTTCATCTAAGATGTTCATCGACAAAAAGTTACTGCCTACAGACCCTCATTGTTCTATGTTAGCACCTCCTATCACAGGATAATCTTACTTGCAACAATTAGCACCGCAGTCTCAAACAAACTATGCAGATCAAGAATCAGTTACATCCAGCACTTTGTTTTCACATTAAAGCCTAGCTCTCTCCAGCTCAAAGGATGAAATGATTCCCAGGTTTTATTCTAAATATATAAGCTAGTACCCTTCTGTAGAACAAATTTACCTTCCTTTAATACCATTCCGAGTTCTGCCCTGAGTCTGTTTCCCATTTCAATCAGCTGCTGCTTCTCTTGGCTCAGAATTGAGATTTTTCTTGCTGCTTCCTTCAGTTTATTTTGCATTCCTTGTAGAGTGCAGCTGACACCATATTGAAGACCAACACCAGGACCTACGTTAGGTAACTGTTGTCCAAGACCCACCATCTTTTCTTTGAGAACTTTGGGGTTTGGCCCCTGAAAAAAAAACAGATAGTGCTTATAATGAATATTTTGAAAGTGCGGTCTGTGGGTTGAGAGATTTATACAAACACGCATTAGAAGCCAGTTGAAGAAAAAGTGTAAAGTTGAAGTCTACAGCCCGTTTTCGAGGGTCCATTTTCAAGATTTTGTTAGCAATATACGGCAAATTAAACTGCAGAGCAAATCACTGTAACAGCCTGGGACGTTCCCACAAATATTGTTAACTGTAAGTGTAAAATAACACACATACGATAAACACTGTGTAACTGTAAACTAGAGAGCAGTTAATTTTTAGATAAAATGTGGAAGAAAACGACTTTACAGCAAATAGCAAGCTACCACAAACTCTTCTTTGTCTAATCATCGCGTGCATACACACATATGGGGTAGATATGACTCAAAACGTCATTCTAAAGAGAAAAGCTGCAGAGTGGAAAGTAAAGATTCTACAATCGGTTTTGCCTTTGCAAACCTAAGTCAATCCACTTGTACATATACATTATGATAAAGTATTTACCCAAAAGATCACATCCTTGTTTTTCAAGAGCTATATACTGTCCTCTTTCAGCCCCCTTACTACAGAGGAGACTTTTCAATATCCATTTAAATATTCATCATTCACTGAACAAATCATCTCCCTACAGGCTTTTTAAATACTACACATTGCCACAAGTATCTAAATATGTCACATACGTTAAAATTGTTTTACAAAACTCTTACTCATCTATATGTTTACTCTTCTATAAATAAACTAGTCAGAAGTGTACTACACTGTAATTGTGCAATCTCAATCAGTTTTCAACTAAATCACCCTGAACACTGCGATTCAAGGAGTACACATTGAAAGGTGTTATCCATACTGGCAAAAAAACAAACCACCATTGCCTTAGTGTGTCATGCAACTCCCATTCTCTTATTTCTTTGGATAGTTTTACCATAAAAGAGGAGGCCCTTGAGAACACACAAGGAAAACATACAGGTACACAAACACTGTGGGGGAGAAAGGTGGAGAAATTAGTGCAGGACTAGAATCTAAAAATACAAAGACAGACACCAAAGTCGAAGAGAAAAGGAAAACCACTCTGGCGTACATATAGCAATTTATATCAAAGCAATTAATATAAGCAGACACAAATTATTACATTCTACCCTCATCATATGCACAGTGAAATTAAGAGACTGAGGTTTAACATAAAGAGAGGTCAAGGCAATGGCCAATTATGGTATCACTGGTTGTCACACTATGTTCCACCTTCACTGTACCAAGAGGCAAAAGCACATCACATGGCTGGGGCAGGAATACCATTTGCTTAAACTTCTGTTTTTCCTGAACTTTTCATAAAAACATTCAACAGCATTTCACAGAAGATTTTTTTTCAGGTGACAGATTGTAAGCTGTAGGGTTAGGAGTGGAACTCCGAAATCTTTTTACCTTTAGATCCATGCCCAGAGTAAAACTCTACAATACAAAAGAGAAAACATGGAAAAGATGGGTACTAAAAAAAGGTGGGAGGAAAAACTCTCCTCAGAGTGACACAAAGAGAAAAGAAGAAAAATATACATACAGGCAAAAGTCTACATGCCTATTTTACTAGTTTCCACAATAAACTTTCCTCTTTTTCTTTAGCTATATTTTAGCTCTGGAGTCTACCATTTTGAGATTATGGTCCCAGAACCTCTGTTATATTAAATGGAAAAAAAGAAAACTATCACTATGGGTCTCTGTATCGACTTCACATCTGCACCTCCATGTTTAGTTACCATTAATGCTCAACAGATTCTAAACTCCCCAAGGTAAAAATATTCGTGCCTGTAATTCATCACGGCCTTAAGTACATCCTTAGCATGCAATTAATAAACGTAAGAAGCATAGAGACGGTGTAGAAGAATGTTAAAAGATAAGCACTTCTAAAATCCAGTAAGGAATTCTAACGGAGTTTTGCCCATTGTTTGCAAGATATTCTCAGGACTGTTTCCAGCTGCCAGTCTATGCCTAAGAAGGCTTGTTATGCACTAAGGAAGAAGAAATAAAGCAGACAGCAGAAATACACAGGAAATGATAGTGCAACATCAGTGAAGACAGCATTAGCTACAATTGCGGCATTTTGTTCACTTAAAAGTTTTGGCCTGCACATCTGCTATTTACTATGTGCCTATACATATAAAGCACCAGTAATTCAGGATTTCACAGTGAAGGTGCACATTGCTGCCTGAAAAGTGTTCTTGTTCTTACATCCAGCCCTGAGCATTCAATTATAGTTTAGCATCATGAAGCAAAGGATTACTCTGGCACAGAGAACGTTCAGTTCCTATCTTACTGTCTCCAAGGCAAAGCCACTCTCTACTTTTCTTTTAAGGCTCTATCCCCATGTAAAGAAATGCGAAGAAAATGAGAATACATCTTGGACAGTAGTTTGTAAAACATTTTCTACAACAGAAAAGAATAGTTGGTATAAAATTTACTTTTCACCTAATTCTGGAAGTGGCCAAAGAGAAAAAAAAAAAAAAAATCTGTGTTGCTATAGTGGCACACAATGATTTCCTAAATATAATTTGACAGCAGGAACAAACAAATCTCCTTCTATATTCAGCAAAAAGGTACAATTAAGATTAAACATGATCTGCACCTGCTGGGTTGTGCATGTTTTCACACAAGGTTCCCAACGCTCCAAAGTTTTATTTAAAGATTGATATTGTTTCAGTACTTAAAGCTCTTAGCTTTTAATGTAATCAGCACCTCTCATCCTTACTTATTACTTAGCTATTATTCAATTTTCTCAAACTTAGATGGTTACTGGTGAGTCTTAACAGTACGATTAAAGCATGAAACAGATATTGGTAGATTTTACAGCTGACTTGAAAATTACAAACCCCTTATTTAACCCATCTTACTTTAGACTCCGTTCACTATACCATGAAATTGCCAGGAGACAGGAAGGGGAGAACATATAGTGACTTACTCCTTATGTAGTATTAGGTATTTGTCCCAGTTTTCAATTCCTTTATTATTTTTCTGAGAGATGCCCCCTGTCACACTTTAATGCTGATATTGTTCCTACCCTTTAAAATAATACAATGGGAACGACATCCGTAAACCCTAGAACTGAGTAAAAATACTCCCAGAGCCAGTGAGTTTTTCCTTCGTGGGTGGTGAGAGCTCCGAACCGACGTTGGCGCTCAGTTATTTCTCCTGGCCATGCTGTCACTCCCCAGCAGCCTACGGGGCATGCATAGGAGCCCACTGTGGCCAGATGTCCTGCCAG